TGGAGGTTATTTTCTTTCAGGGCTTGGACTATTTCCCCCCAGGGTCTTCTTGATTTGAGAGTTTGCATTGATAAGTCTGTTGTTATTTTGTTAATTTTTCTGTTGTAGGTAATCTGATTCTTTTCTCTGGCTGCTTTTAATATTCTGTTCTAGTGGTGGATTTCTGGAACCTTGATTATTATATGTCTGGGTGTAGATATGTTTTGGTTGTAGTTGGCTGGAGTTCTGTATCCTCATTTATCTGGATATTATTTCTTTTTCCTAAGCTTGGGAAGTTTTCCTTAGCTATATCTGTGAATAGTCTTTGTAGTTTATTTGTGGTTACTCCTGCTTCTTTGCTCACGTTTTTTATTCTTAAGTTATAAATCCTCTTGTCATCTTCTAGCCTTAGAATTGTTTCTTCCTGGTTCCTTGTTATTTTTAAGAGATCTTTTATTTCACAAGCACACACCCATAAATCTCTCTTCAAGTTTCAAAAGGCTAATTTTAGTTTCTGTCAAGACATTTTGCCAGCTTTCAATGGAGTTTTTAGTTTCCTGGTAATCTCTTTGGATCTGCTTCATGTATTCTAGATTTTGTTTATATTCCTCAACATAGGTTTCTTGTCCTTTCTCAGTTCCTCCATTCTTTCATCTGTGTTCTCTTGGGAGGGGCTTATCATTTCTTTAATTAATCTTTTTATATCTTGCCTCACTTGTATCAGAAGTACAGTTTTAAATTCATCTATGAGGTCATGAAGGTGTCTTTATGTCCACTGATGCTATGTCTAATATTGCATGATTACTGCAGTGGTTCTCTTTTGTATTTATCTCTCCTGGGCTTATTTTTCCAGAGTCAGTGGCTGGAGGTTTGTTTTTTTTTTCTGTCTCTTGTCATGTTTCTGGTTCGGTAAGCTGGTTCGGTAAGCTGAGGGCAGCCTGGAGGCGCTCAGGGCTGCACAGTGGTACGGCTGGCTGGGACTGTGTGTTTGATTGGTTCTTCTCACCTTAGTTTCTTCTTGGGATGAGAGGATTCCTCTCCCTCTGTTCAGGGTTCCCCACACTGTATTATGTTGAATTCTAAGTTGACTATCAGCAGAATACATTTTTATAAAAATTTTTGCATTACTTGTATAGTTGTATTTTATTTATTGCAGTGGGTTTATACATATTCATTTGGATATAATTTTCATTAATTTTTGAAATATATGGCAATATTAGAACCAAGAAAACAAGCCAGAGAATAGAAAAATCAAGACCAGGTGAGACATGGTTTCATTGTGAGTGGTTTCAGTTGTACAGACATTTCTATCAGCAGAGAGAATCTGATAAGGTTTTGCTTTGCCCCACCACTACACCCCACTGCTAAGAGCTATGCTTTTACTTCTGTTTTGTTAGTGGGACTGGATACCTAAGAGGTGTTTGTGCCATCCCCACATAAGTTACTGTATATGTTGTTGGCCAGAGGCATATGATTACAAAAGAAAGCTGGCACTTATGTGCATGATGGCTTTTTGCATAACTAATGATCTATAGAGGGAATTTACTGCCTTCTGTGTTTCAACACAATTTAGACATCCTTAGAAAACAGGTGTGGAGTGGGATTGATTGATTTAGTACTATAAACTGTGATTTAGTACTATAAACTGTGTGTAATAGGAACTGTGTAAACGTCTATAGAGTTTTTCGTGCCAGAAATAAGTACCTTAAGGTTAGTTTACCTAAAACGTAATGGAAATACAGTACTACATTTCCAGTATTATTTTTAAAGCAATATTCTTGAGGAGCTATTATAAATGGCAGGTTTATACAATGGGTAGTTTTTATGTATTTTATCTAAAGATGGTAATTGTAAATGCAATTTCCAACATTAGGTCTTTTCCTAGTGTCAAAGTGGAGTGGAAATTGCTATCTACAAGTAACCTATTATGTCAAATGAAAACTTTATAGTTAAACTTGTTAATGTACAATAAAAGTAACAACATTTTTGTGGCTCTTGATTCAAGTTATAAACTTATTTACTTTAGTTGGATTCATTTTCCTTTGGAAATTTTTCTAAAAGCTTTTGCTCCTTAAGGGTGCATGTGCACTCTTGGGAGGCTCAGGCAGAACGATGGCAGTTGGAGCCCACCTTGTGCAGCTTAGCAAGGGTCTGTTTCTGGTCTGGTGCAGGGGATGTAAGTCAGTGTAAGGCCTTGGGTTCAGTTCCCAGTACCACCACCACTGCCAAAAAGAAAGCTTCTGTTCTGCTATTTTCACTGATTTTCTTTAAAGATTGTTCTAGCACTTCTCTGGTCCATAAAAATTCCCTCTAAGTTGTTTGCTAAAGAAGCAGTTATTTTCTTTGAATATACCTTGTTTTATGCAGTTGTATATATTCCTGCCATTGAGGGGGTGTTTTTTGAGTTGTTGAAAATATTCTAGTAAAATATCTATTTTAAGATAGCACCACTAATCTTTAATAAGGGGAGAGCTTTGGGAGTGTATAGAATATGACAAAATTGGTAGCTTTTTAAATGCAAATATGGAGTTTTTCTGTGCTTATGTTTAGTTAACTTGAAGTGTGTGCCCCTTAAACCAGTGGTAAATTTCAAAGATCACTTATGACTGGAAGAGGAAATGTACTGTTGAGGTATTGGTAGGTTTGTCTGCTTGGTCACCTTGTGGCTCTTTGCTAGTGTTGTTCTCATGCCTTGATTTGAGTGTGCATTTTTATAGGTGTCTATTTTTGTTAGTCTTACAGACATTGTTTGAATATTAGATTTTTGGTGGTGGTGGCAGTGCTTTTTGTAATCAAGTTTTATTGCCCTAATTTTGACAAAGAGCCAGAAATTTTTAGTTTATAAATGATGTTCATTAGAGCTGCATTTAACACTGTAAATTTAAACTTACACGTTTGTAATATTTTAAAGTTACAGCCTACAGAGCCTATATAGGAAGATTAGTTTTCTTAGTGCTCCACAAAAGTGAAATAATTTCTTAGCAGTTTTTCCTTGTTTTCTTTCCTCGTTTTTTTTCATTTCTACCACTCATCAAATTTTGATGGCTTTTTGTTTTGTTTAGCATAAGTATCTTCTCCTTATTTTGAAGATGGAAATATGAAAGTTGCTATTTTATGTGTGTGCTGTTTGGTTTCTTTCTTTCTTTTCTTTTCTTTTCTTTCTTTCTCTCTCTCTCTGTCTCTCTCTCTCTTGCTCTCTTATTATGGTCGATACAATTGATTGAGCGATTTGTACTCAACCTAGAGCAATGCAAAATATTAAAGAGAGGAGGCAAGTAGATAGGAAAAGAGTTTAATAAGCAGGGAGGGCACAGAGGCAGTCACCACAGAGAAGGCTGTGGCAGCTCTCCCTGCAGACAAAGGACAGCTTCTGCCTGATGTAGCCTCTCATGGGGAAAGGGCTCTGGGGCTGATGTGAGCTGATTTATTTCGTGAGCATGCAAGGGTTGGGTAAACTTTTACATGCTTGAGCTTTGGCACAGACTTTTGGGAGGGAGAAGCCATAGCGGCTTCTGGGAAGACGGAGGTATGCATTATCATGGCACAGCTTTGAACCACTGCCATGATGATTGTGCTGTCTCTCAGAAGGGAGGAGTAACAACATTGTGTCAACTTGAGAAATTTAGAAGTTTTAACAAAGACTCAGCAAGGAGCCAGGGTTTTTCCTTTGCAAATACTCTCATGCTGTGCAAGGGGAGGGCACAGAGATTTTGTGAGTGCTTCACCTACCTCTGGGTATGGGGGTGGCCTGTGTATATATGGGAGAAAAATATAAGAGAGAAAAAGAGGCTTGCCTTGACCCCTTTTCCTCTGGCTGCTTTTACTGGCCGCTGCCTTGAAGTGTTGCCCCAGTGCCATGCCACCCTGCCTAGGAGCCATGTGATTGTGGACTGAAAGCTCCACAAGCAGTGAGCTAAATAAACCTTTTCTTCCTTCATTTTGGGTGTTGGGTGTTTTGTCCAGGCAGTGGAAGAAAAATAACCAAGACACTTGTCTTGTAAGAAAATTACTTGCCAATAAGTCTCAGTTATGTGTGTATACTTTTTGGCAAGGTAGTTTATGAAGTTTTGACAAGGTAGTTTATAAAGTTAGCTGGAAGAACTGTGTTTCATTGATATCTTCTGAATAGTAAGGCTTCAGTTGAAGTTTCAGTTTTTGAATTTAAACACTTCAAGAACTATCTTGTTTGAAAAGAAGTATTGAAAAACTACTCATTTGGATTTTCAATTTTAGAGATTGAGTTCATTAGTCCTGGTGTTCATAAAAGGTACAAGCCAGTCTTCCACCTTTAAGTCCATAATTCAGTTGCAAATATTCTTGGTCAGAGTAAATAAGACTATTTTGAAAGTAGAACTAGGTTTACTTTTAGTATTTATTTTGAAGAGTGGCTTATGTTCTAGTTAATGAAAATTTTATTCCTTTTGAAGTTTCTAAGAAGATGGTGAAGTGTGTATAGGTTTCTTTTAGAATTACATAATTGATTATCTTACTGGTTTGATCATCTTTCCGGGATAACTTTTGGAGATTGATGACTGACCTGTCTCTACAGAGTTACAGTGAATGGTTGCACGGATATGAAAAGAAAGCACAAGAATGTGAAAACTGAAACTTCAGGTTCAGAAGAAGTTGAGTTTAGTTCAAGAAGTGAACTGTCTGTATTTTAAAGGAAGCTAGGAAAAAGACAGTCAGAATTTGTTTTCATATGTTCTGGAGAGATAATCTGTTTTTAGAAGGATAATAGTCTTTTGAGAAAAGTATAAGGAAGAGATCATTGGTGTACGTTTTATTATCTTTGATTTATGTACAAAGCTAGTATTTCTTTTCTTTAATTCTGTTACCTTAATGAGGTCTAAGACTGAGTAACTTTTTTGCTATTTTTTGTTTGTTTGTTTTTTATTTCTTTATTAGTACATGTTTGCAGAGCATGAAGTTTACATTCATCTTGGGGAGTGGTTGCATGTACCTACCACAGCTTGTTATTTTTGCCCCTCTCCCCGGTTTTTCTGTCCCATTTTTCATTCAGAAGTGCAAGATGCTTCATGAATTTGCATGTGGTCCTCGTGCAGAAGCCATGTTAATCTTTGCTGTATCAGTCTCATCTTAGTATATGTGTTGCTGGAGCGAGCACTAGCTTAACTTTAAAAAAAGTAAAGTCACTGAGGTAGGTAGGTAGGTAGAGTGTCACCAGTTTGCTCAAGCTGCCCCCAAAATAAATAGGAGTAACAGAACCTAGCTTGATTTTTTTTTAATCTTTGACTTTTCAATAAATTGAAAAGATTTATTATTGTTATTCTCTTGTACATACTAAGTGGCAGTCAGTAGGCAAAGGCACTGTGTGGCACAGGCACTGTGACCTTCACATGTGCTTCTGCTTTGATCTTATCACCTGGCTCAGGAAAAAACAGCCTGTTTATTATAAAATTATGTAGTGTGTTTTGTAGTGAGCAGTTTTACAGTTTTATTAGTGCCCATCAGATATGACCCACAAAGGCATTATACTTAACTGCTACCTATTTTTTTGTTATAAAACTGTTCAAAACCATTTTTGGAATATAAAACTAAGTTCTGAAATGAAGTTGAAGCACAGAATTTACTGGTTACACTTAAAGTTATTTTTTTTTTTTGCATTATTTGTAGGTTTTAGAGCATTAAGAGAGGCTGATGAAACACATACACTATTACAGCTGGAGTGTGATAAGTATAAATCAGTCCTTGCAGAAATGGTAGGAAATGATTTTTAATCTACACTGTATTATTAAACTATTAACTTCTCCTTCATGGCCTAAGTATTCTATTTTGGCATTATAACATTAATTCTTCAAAATTATACCTTTGTCTGTAGGAAGGATTTGTACAGAAAAGTATGGAGGAAAAAGAAAATAGAATTGGAAAGTTCAGATTAATGAATCATAAAAGACAATGAAGCAGATACTTAAAAAGCACTCAGAGCAGCGGTGCTCAGAGCTGGACCCTGGGCCTGCAGCACCAGCTCACAGACTTCTGGGAAGTAGACATTCTCAGTCCCCAGGATGCCCTACAGGGAAGCAGTCCCTGTGTTCATAAGCCACTTAGAGATCTGAAAGTTAGGAGTTTGGAGAGTGACCTAAGGGGGCAGGTGATAGAGAGTGAAAAGTGTTTTCAAAGAGAATTTCTAAGCCATAACATACGGTGACAATTCTGTATTCAGAGTTGCTTTAAAATATTGATAATCTACGACATAGTCAAGAAAAAGTTAAAAAGTTTTGTGAGACCTGAATGTTACTGTGCAGTCTTCATTTTTCTGTTTTGCTTGGATGTGTTAAGAGTGTAGCATTTGCTACTCGTGTGTCTTCTTAGGCCAAATATGTGCAGAATTTAGAGTTACCGATGACACTCTTACTGCATTTGTGGGATAAGAAAAACTGATGATTTTTATTGTTAAGGTCTTTAAAAATTGAGTGTGATTTTAGGGGAATGTATTTCAGAACCTCTGAACTTTTAATTAATTGAAAATTCTAGACTGTAGAAATCTGTGGCCTGCCCTTTTCTCTCTCTTTTAAAAATGTTACATTAAAATACCAAAATACTAAAATGCTTACTTATATGCATTCATTATATTATATATTTTTTCAAGACAGTTCTTCACTCAAACAAAGAGCACCAAAAAATAAACAAACAGTGGCAGGCTGCAGTTTGGACATACCTGCCTATCTCCTCTGTGGTTTACTTGGTCTTGCAATTACTTTTAGGTGCTGCTGTCAGTTACACTGTCAGAGAAAGAGTTAGCAGTTAAGAGAAAATAAAGATACTGAAAATTATGTTACCCCTCTTATAACCTATGAATTTATTTTTAGCATTATGTGTTGCCCAAAAATTTTTAAAAAAAATTTTAAGGAGGAAAAGAAAAAAAAAAAAAAAAAAAAAAACAGAAAATGGGTACAAGTTATACAGAATCTCAGAAAAAACAAAGAGTAGGAAATCACTAGCTAACAGATTACATATTGTCATCTTAGAAATAGCTGTCAAGTTACAAAATCAAAGCATACAAAGTGGATATTCAAATAGTGAGACTGCAAACAGTTCTGTTCAATGATCCAACAAAACTCAGTAATATGGTTATCTATCTTATACACTTAAATATATATGCAGTTATATCCTTTAGAGCACTTTCTTTTCCTCTCTTTTGTACAATGACAATTACACATTTTGGGTTTTATTACTCCCACAGTTATTACTTTTTTTGAAGAGAATAAAGCCAAATGTTACGTAACAAAACAGTCAGTCAAATCAAAAGGATGAACGTAATACATACTGTAAAAACAAAATACAAGGTGATCAACAATGGTTACCATAATACCTCTTGCTATCTTAAAAAAGAATTGCCTATATCATCAGTTATAATAAAATTGAACAAAACAGTAAAGAACAAAACCAATAAAACCAAAACATTGGAGACATTACAGGACTTCAAAACAAGATAATAGTCAAACCAGAATGGGCGTCACAATGTATCTTATTGTCTTCACAGTTGTTGCCTATACTCTGGAACTTGGTACTATCAAGCAAAACAGGATAGAGGAAAATCAGTCAAAACAAGATAGAGCAATACACGGTTTCAAATCAAGTTAATAGGAAATCAAAGTGGGTTACTATAATCCTGCTATTTTTTATTTTTCCCTTAATTAAAAAGATAAAAAAGTAAATAATTTAAAAAAAGGAGATTGAGATAAAAGAGGGCATAACAACAGAACAGCACAGGTCAAAACATAACCATTTAAGCAAAATAGTGTTTCACCACAAGATATCCTGACATAAAAGTAGTTACCATAGTGTCTCTTTCCTTGAAATCTTTGAGTATAACTTCATATACTGTAGCACCAAACATATCAAGACAATGTAAAACCATTCAAGAGAATGACAGTATTACAGGGTATTTAGAACCAACTATCAGAAAATGAACAATGGTTTCTGTATAATCTCCTTCTCTATAAAAGTTTTTGCCTATATTATCACATATAATAAAATACAATAAGATACAACCTGTTAAGACCAATAGAGACAGAAGAATAAAAGCTTTTTTTATTTAAAAGGAAAAAGAGAAAAAAACAGAACAAAACAAAACAGTGTAAAGCGTACACGTAATACAGAACTACAAAAGAAAAAAAAAACCAGTAAGATATCACCAGTTAATAGATTACACACTATCATCTTTGAAACGGTGATTCAGGTCACAGGATCAAAGCATACAAAGTGAACATTCAGATAGTGAGACTGCAAACAGTTGTGTTCAATGATCCAATCAAAAACATTAATATGGTCATCTATTTATCACACCTAAACACACTTGCTGTTTTATCTTTTTGGGCACTTTTTTCCCCTCTCTTTATTACAACAAAATTTACACATTTTGGGTTTTATTGCTCCCATAGATCTTATTACTTTTTTTTTTGTAAGAGAATGATAAAACAAAGCTGTCGGTCCAAACCAAGGATAGACATAGCACATGATTTAAAAACAGAGTACAAGGTTATCAACAATGGTTACCATAATGCCTCTTGCTTCCTTAAGAAGAATTGTCCATCTCATTAGGTATTATAAAGTTGAACAAAACAGTAGAGAACAAGTCCAATAAAACCTAAACATTGTAAACCTTACAGAGCTTCAAAAGAGGAAAATAGTCAAACCAGAATGGGCATCAAGTGAATCTTACTGCCTTCAAAGTAGCTGCCTATACTCTGATACTGAATACTATCATACAGAGCGAAACAGAATCTAAAATCAGTCAAAACAAGATAATGGGAATATTACAGGACTTAAAATCAAGTTAATAGGAAATCAAAAATGTTACTATAATATATCCTGCTAGTTTTTTTATTTTTTCCCCTTAGATTAAAAAAGAAAAAAAATTAAATAATTTTTTAATGAATAAGGGAGAGATTGAGATAAAAGAGGGCTTAACAACATAAAAATACAGGTCAAAGCATGACAGTTTCAGCAACCTAGTGCTTCACCACCAATAACTCCAATTAATAGTAGTTACCATAGTGTCTTTTTCCTTGAAATATTTGAATATAACCTCATATGCTGTAGCATCAAACATATCAAGACAGTGTAACACCATTCAAACGGATGAAAGCATTGTAGAGTATTTAGAACCAGCTAATAGAAAAATGAACAATGGTTTCTATATTGTCTCTTTGCCTATAACAATTTTTGTTTATACTACCACATATGATAAAATCCAGCAAGATACAACATGATAAAACCAATGGAGACAGAAGAGCCATAGTTTGGTGGGGCTTTAAAACAAGATGGTATTAAATCAGCACTAGTTATTTTGATGTCTTGTTTTCTTCAAAATAGCTATTCATTGCATCACAGGCCATAATATCAAACAGCCCAGAATAAAGCCATTCCAATTAATGAGTGAAAACTTTATAAGGCGTCAAGGCCACATATTGGGGAATCATGATTACCACATACTTTTATATATTTGAATCATTTCCTACACTAGGGAAACTATTTGGTGTTCACAGATGCGAGTTTGATTTATTTCACTTATGAGTATGGTTTCAAGCTGCGCCCATTTATTGATAAATATCTCAGTGTGATCCTTCTTTATAGCTGAGTAGTATTCCGTTGCATAGAAATACCATAACTTTTTTATCCATTCCACAGTTGATGGACACTTGGGTTGTTTCCAAAATCTGGTGATTACAAATTGTGCTTCTATAAACATGGGTGCACATATATCACTGTGGTGTGATGCTTTCAGTTGTTCTGGGAATCCCAGTTTTTTGAGAAATCTCCAGACTGACCTCCACAAAGGTTGTACCAGTCTACACTCCCACCAACAGTGTAGGAGAGTTCCTTTTTCCCTACAGCCTCTCCAGCACTTGTTGTTGTTGGTTTTCTTGATCCTAGCCATTCTTTCAGGAGTGAGATGGAATCTCAGTGTGGTTTTAATTTGCATTTCCCTAATGACCAATGATGATGAACATTTTTTCATGTATTTATTTGCCATTTGTATTTCTTCATCTGAGAAGTGTGTATTCATCTCAGATGCCCATTTTTGGATTGGATCTTTGAATTTTGGGGGTCTGAGTTTTTTTTAATTCTTTGTGTGTTTTAGACAAAAGTCCCTTGTCT